CCGGGCCGCCGCCGCGCGCGCCGGAAAGCGCGAGGCGCTGCAGGAAGCCTGGGAGCTTAGACGGTAAACCCCGTTCTCCCAGCGGCGGTTTTCTGAGCGTGCAGGCGCCCGGGGTGCAGGAGCCCTTCCCGGGGGACTTGAGCCGAGTGCTAGCCGCCCTCCTCTCCGGTGCGCGGTGGGCGCGGACGGCCCCGCGCAGCAGTCACGTGGTGGCGGCACCCAGTTTCCCCAGTGTGTGGCGGCTTCCCCAGAACAGATTCGTGGGTGAATTCCCTGCTTTCTTGGGAGACAGTGTTTACAAAACCGCGGTGTGAGTCCAAAGCAAACACGCTGTTCTAAACGATGAAAGACGGGATCTTAAACAAAAGCTGCCCTTTTTGGAAAGTTAAGGGAGCAGAGTCTAAGCGAGTTTGTTTTTATGGGACGCGGTTGCCGTTTTGCTGATAGACACAAAGTTTTAGTTGTCTTCTGGGTCACTGATCTGTGGAACCGTTTTGAGCTGTTACATTATTTTGCCTTAACTGTAAAAGGGCATTGTTTAAGTTATTCTGGCCGCTAGCGTTCTTGATTACACTGATGCGTTTATTATAAGGACCGATATGACCGCGGGGTCAAGCTTGCGGTAAAGGATGAGTGTTTCATGGTAATCATTTTTATCTTGCCTGCTTCCACTGGCCCTCCCCAGTTTTGAGTTGTCCGTGGTCCACATATGTTACATGGGCTTAAAAACTGTCTTTCATATTATGGGAGGAGTCTTTATTCTTGGCTTGCCCCTGGGCTTGCTTTAACTTTCTTAGATTGTAAGATTTGTTGGTCTAGGACACCAGTCTCTTGAAAATAAAACACACTTGTGAGGAATCTAAGGAAGCTGACTTCCTGTAGTGTTTCTCTTGCTGCACAATGTTATTTTAAATTGAGAAATAAACATTCTGTGTAAAATTCTATCACGATAAACTTGCTTACCCCACATTCAGTTGCAGCATAGAAAGAATCTTTTCCCCGTGGGTAGTTGTGTCTTCCCTTAAGTAACAGAAAGTATGTAATGTGCATAGTTAAGAATTAAGAGGGAACAGTGCTACAGTCCTTCCCTCTTTAATCCCAGAGGCACAGTGACCCTCAGACTGTGAAACAGTGCTGACTGTTTTGCTTGGTAGATATCTTGAAATTTTCATATAACCTATTTCTCTTTGCAGTACAGGGGTTGAATCCAGGGCCTCCCACAGGCTAGGCAAGCACTGAACTGTGTCCCTGATCCTTTTTGCTATGTTGCCAGGCTGGCTTTGAACTTGGGATCCTCCTGCTTCAGCCTCCTGAGTAGTTGGGATTACAGGCATGTGCTGTCATGCTCAATTTCATTTAATCTTCAATATTTCAGAAGGTAGTACTGTTAGTGAGTTATATTTAGCATAATGTTTACCGGTAAGATGTTTCTTATTTTCATGAGACTTTCAGGACTTTAAGATTGGGAGGCCTAACTCCTCCTCAGTGAGCAGTTAGGGTATATGGTGTTATTATTAGCAGTGCTTATAAGAGAAAGTAGTTATCTATTTGCTTTTCATTTATTCACAGAATAGGCTGACAGGAAGTCTGAAAACGGTGTTTCTGATTGTATATAGTAGCTCCCACTCTTCTAACATTTCAGCGTAATTTGAATGATCAGGTTGATTTACATTATAGTTTTATTTGTGTTTTTTTTTTGTTTGTTTTTGTTGTTTGTTTTTCTTCCGGTACCAGGAATCGAACTCACGACCTTGCACTTGCCAGGCAGGCGCTGTGCTGCTGAGCTAAATCCCCAGCCCCTACATTATTGTTTTAAAACAATCTGTATTTAATTCAGTTAGAGGAATGTGCAGAGCATAGTTTTAGAAATTTGAGCTAGACAGGATGTTAGAAAGCACATGAATGAGTCATTTTACAGATGTGGGAACTGTTCAGTTACACTGGAATTAATTTATCATGGCTTCTTTTTTAAAATTTTTATCTTTTGTCTTTTTTTTTTGAGACAGGATCTCACTGTGCAGTTGAGGCTGGCCTCAAGCTCACCTTGTAGCCCAGGCTGGCCTGGGACTTGCAACGATCCTCCTGCCTCAGCCTCTTGAGAGCTGGGATTACAGGCATGTGCCACCACACCAGGCATCCTTCTTCTTTTTTGTTGGGGGGTGGTTAACTCACTATGTAGCCCAGGCTTACACTCTGCAATGCTCCTGCCTCAGCCTCCTAAGTGCTGGGATTACAGGTGTGTGCGCTACCAGACTTGGCTCTGGTTTAAATTTATTTTTTTCACTCTAAATTTGAATAAACTTCTAAATTTGCGTGATGGTTGTTTTTCTTCATTGTTTTAAAAGAAAACCTTTATATAAAAGTTTGTCTTTATAAATGTTTGGCTGTAATCAGTACAGAAACCAAAATGACTTTTGCTTTTTTAACTGTCCTTGAAGTCCTTGTTATCTATTATTCAAGTTGTTTGTTTTGGTCCTCTTCTCTGTTAGTTAGTATTTTACTACTTTGGAGACTTTTCTTTCCAGGCTGGGTAAGAATGAAAAGATTAGAAGCTCCGAGAACTCAAGGATCAAAGCCTGGTGTCTGTCAGTCAGCACCCTCCTGGTGGCCCGTCCTGTCCATTGCAGCTGCGTGGTCAGGACAGGTGTGGCTGCCATTCGGTGCCCATGCTGCAGAAAGACCTCCCGAAGCAGGATCATCTCGCCGCCCTTCTCTAGGGTGGGGATGGCTGCCTGCTCGCGCCTGACTACTGCTCCACCCTCCTTGAGATGCGTTCAAGACGCACCATCTATGTGGTGCCTTTTACATTAACTCTTTGTTTCATTACTTTGTGCTTACTCTGAGAGTGACAGCGTACCAAAAAATTAACTGGGGCTTAAAGTACACATTTCTGTACTTTAATCCTAGAGATTCAGATCCATTAGGTAAGTGAGGGGCTTTGCATTTTGCTGGAGGAAATTTCCCCAAAGATTAGTATTCCGAGTTGCTGGGCATGGTGGTACCACTCTGGAGGCTGAGGCAGGAGGATTGCTGTGAGTTCGAGGCCAGCCTGGACTACAAAGTGAGTTCAAGGTCAGGCTAAACTGCATAGGGAGACCCTGTCTCAAAATGACCAAAAAGGGAAAGAAAAAATGATTAGTATTCCTGGGGCCGGGGGTTTAGCTCAGTAGCACAGCACCTGCCTGGCAAGCATCAGGTCCTGATTTTGACCCCTGGTAACCCAACCCCAGAGATTAATATTCCGCCTTAGGAATGATTAGCCCCTTAGAATATATCTTTCAGTTCTTCAAAACGGATCTTTTTTCTTTCTTTTCTTGAGACAGGTTCTCACTACGTAGCATGATGCTGCTGTGTTATCTTGCCTTGCCCTTGTCCCACAGTAGGTGTTAGAGTAGATGCAGCCACACTGGGTGTGTCGGTGGAGCCTGGAGTCCCAGCTACTTGGAAGGTGGAGGCAGGAAGATCTCTTGAATCCGAGTTTGAGACTCTCCTGACCATCTTGGGCAACATAATGAAACCCTGTCCCAGAACAGCAAAAGAAGATTATGTGTATTTCAATTTATTTGTTCATTTATTTATATTTTTAAAATTTATTTTTTGTCTTTTTGAGACAGGATCTCACTATGCACTTCAGGCTGGCCTTGAGCTCACTGTGTTGCCCAGGCTGGTCTTGAACTTGCAACGATCCTCCTGCCTCAGCCTCCTGAGTGCTGGGATTACAGGCATGCGCTACCACACCTGGCTTTTTTTTTTTTTTTTTAATGGTAGCACAGT